ACGCGCGCTGGCTTGGGAATTCTGGAAGCTGAAGTCCACACGCCTTAAAGCGCGCTGGCTGGGGAATTCTGGGAGCTGAAGTCCACACGCCTTAAAGCGCGCTGGCTGGGGAATTCTGGGAGTTGAAGTCCACTCATCTTAAAGTGGCCAAGTTTGGACAACACTGCTTTAGATCTTTCTCTTTGTAAGGTTTCCAGACCCAAAGCGAATGGGAAAACTTTTCTAGATAGACGCGGCAAATTCCAAAGACTCTGTTGCTCGAGAAAAAGCATTTCTGGGCCAAAAGGCAGAACGTTTTGACTTTTCATCCCTTGCTTTATAGATGCATCCTTTTTTTTTTTCAATCTAGAATTTATGGAGAAGCTTTTCTTTGCAATTTTGCTCGGGTGGGCCTTAAACCTCAAGAAGACGGTCTCTGCTTGATCGCGGGGGTCTTGCGGAACACAGCTTCTGATCGCTGGCTCCCTTTTCCTGTTTGCTGGGGGGGGTCCTTTCCTGGCCGGGGGGCTGCGAGACCACCCGGAGAAATGAATCTAGAAAATAGCTCAACTTTCCACCAGCTGACCAATTCCAGGCTCATCAAGAACAAAAACGATTAAAACTAAAAGCAGCCGCCAGTGCCAAATTGCAAAAACAGAGGCTTCGTGCGTATTGTGGAATTCTTCCATCATTTAAAAAAAAATTGCTGGAGTTCATAAAGCTTCCAGTTTGGGAAACCTGGAAGGGAAGGTGTTGCTAGCCGGACCTGCTATAAAGCTATTTTTATGTCCCCCTGATTACAGGTGATGATGGGTGGCGCGTGGTTTACATCCAACCTTGGTGACCCAGACACGGTTCCTCACACTGAGTTGCTGAGCCGAGCTCAGGAGGCTGTCAGGCAGCACCTTGGAATCGCTACGGAGCCTGCTCGCTCCATTGTTAAAGTACATAAGGTATGCAGGGCAGAAATCTTCATAACTTCCCTTAAGCTATTCTTCCCTTTTCAGCTGCTATTCGCACCATGGCCACTAGGTGGCAGCGCTCACCTTCTCTTTGGTGTTTCTCAACCTGGATACCTTTAAGGTATGGCACTTCAACTCCCAGAATTCCATGGGAGAATTCATGCTGGCTGGGGAACTCTGGGAGTTGAAGTCCACATACCTTAAAAGTTCCGAGGTTGAGAAACACTGTCTTAAACTTTTCCTTTTTCGCGGTTTTTTTTCCTCTTTAGGGGACAATGTTTGAGGAACGTTTTTTGTGTGTCCTTTAGGGACACCCAAGTAGATGATTTCCTGCTGGCCATTGGCTAAGAAATTGGGCCCCAGCATCATGACACTAGCAAGCTGCAAGGAAGTGGGCTGTGGTCATGGCAGAAGTTTGGATCGTTATATTATTATTAATATTAATATTAAATTATTATTTATTAATTTAATGATTTAATTTAATAATTTAATTTAATTTATTATTTTTATTATTAAATAAAATATTATTATTAAATAATATATTAATATTATTGTTTATTTATTTAAATTGATTGGCTGCCCAGGAAATTTATTGGCAATAAATTAAATGGATTAATTTGGCTGCCCAAGTGGGCAGGGAGGGGAGGGTATATAAGTATATCTGAAATATGAAAAGGAGCAATAGGAACGTGATCTGGAGGCAAACAGGCGATGAATTACAGGAAGGAGAAGAGCGAGGTGCAGTTTAGTTGCAGGGCTTAAATGTCCCGTCAACGCATTGCTAAGAAAGCTGATTCTCGGAGATCCATAAATGAAACGAAAAGGGCCTTGCTGGTGACTCTAGTTGGGTTTAACCCTCTGGACCCAGCTCGCTTTTTTAAAAAATATTTCTTTTATTAGAGTTTTACAGTACAGTTAAGCATCAAAGTATAAAAAAATGGGGAGAAAAATAAGGAAAAGAGAAAAGAAACAGGAAAAAAGAAAAGAAGGGAACAAAAGAAAGAAAACTTAGAATTCTGACTTCCACCCTTCTCCCTTTGGAATACATTTCTTTATCATATTTATATAGCCGCCCGTCTCACGCAAGGTAATTGCCATCTTAGTTTCTCCCCTTCCTCTGTAACCCTTCCCAATCCCCAAATCCGTCAATCGTCTGTTCAGCCTTCTCTTCTTTCCGCCCAAAGTCCCTCGAAGGCTTCCAGTCTTTTTAAAAATCTATCATTTTTTTCCCCTGACCGACCCGGCTAACTTCATGAACTTTTCCTTCTGGCTAGGCTTGCATCCCCCAGTACACGCTCGGCCACTGGAAACACATCGGTAAGTTTCTGGCTCTTCCGCCCGACGGAGCCCGCTGGGAAACCGGGAAAGGACCGGGCAGGGGGGCAGGATTTGCCGTCGCTTGGCGTTCCCCAGTGCCAGCTTCCTCCGTGGGTTTTCGGATGGGGATCAAGTAGATTCTAAAACTGGAGAGCTGGTAGCTTTCTGTCACTTTCGGTCCCCGCTGATCTTGCTTTTCTTCGTGACGCGGATTTGGCTGTCAACGTCATCGTTCGTCTGATGGGGTGCCCGGCCTGGGGAGCTTCCTAAGCGAAGGGGGGACTCGAACTCGGGCCTCCCGGCTCCTCGTCCAGCTCCTTAACCGCTGCCCCATTCTAGCTGTGCCCCGTTTTTATTTTGCGCCAACCCCAAAGGCCCCGAGCCATCTCTGGAAGCCAACGGCTGGCGGAGGCTTTGCAGCTTCGCAGAAGGGCCGGAAGCCGAGGGAGGGGCCCACAGTTGCCGACCTGCCTTGGCCCAACCAGTCTTCCTTCTTTTACAGAAAGCGCTGCCTCCTACTTGAAACAGCAGAATCTGCCCCTTAGCCTGGTGGGGGCTTCCTACGCCGGCGTCTCCGTCAGCGAGTGCATCTTCAGCGCCCAGATGGCGGTGGCGCGGCTCGCGGGCAGCGTCTCCTGAGGACGAGCCGGGGGATGGGATCGGGGCTCCCAGGATCCAGCCGCTCTCGTTCGCTGACTTCCTGATCCTTTGGGGGGGGCGGGGGGCTGAGCCAAGTGGGAAAGGCTGGGGAAAAGGCAGCGGATTCCAGCCCGGCGGTGGGTTGCAGCCCCCCTCTGCACACCCCAATTCCCCACCCCTCTCCAAGATCGTCCCTCGCCTGTGCAGAGGCGGCCTCTATTAAAAGCCTCCGATCCAGGTGCCAAGTTTGCTTTTCTTCTAAAAAGAAAAAAAATCAATCAATCAATTAACTCAGAGCGCCCTGAGGATTGTAAAAGGCACCCCTCGTTTTTGAGCCCTCGGGGGTCCCGGCTCAGCACATTTTAATCAGGAGCAGCTTAAACAGAGGGGAGAATTCAAAAAATCATTGCCTTGGTGCAGAGGGATTTTGGAGGTCACCTGCTCCTGTGCTTTTCAAACTTGGCG